CAGGGCGAGCGGCGGCAGGCAGGGACACTCCGGGGCCAGCACAGTGCCTCCTCTCACCCCAATGCCTGACCTTGCAGCTGAGGACCTGAGGCACCAGTGAGGCCCTGTGTGCCTGGTGCTCCCATCGGCCATCCTGGGCCCCCCCCACACACAAAGACCCGCCTTCCGTCCAGCCCCAAGGCCCTGGCCAGCTACTCAGCTCAGCCCCCGTCCTGGGCTCCCAGGAAGAGCGGGGAGCCTGAGAAGGCCAGCTGGCTGGGAACATGCCGAGAGGGACGCCGGGCAGGACCCTGGCTTACCGGCCCGGAGGGTCCACTCCGCTAGTCCTTCAGTCTAAGGCTTGCTCAGCACAAAGCAAGGGATAGCATGAGTCACACAGCAGGCCCAGCCTGGTCACCCTTCCCGCCCACAGGGGCATGCCGCCACCAGCTGGGCCTGTCCAGGGTCCACAGGCACCCAACACAGCTTCCCCTTGGGCACCACTGCCCTCTGACTTGCTCTCCTCTCTCTCCCACCCCTTTCTGGGTCTACTGGGCTGGCTGCCTGACCTCTCTCTCCTGGTCTCAGCGACACAGACAGCCTCAGGCCACTCCTCCAACAAGCCCCTCCTCAGCTCTCCACACATCCCAGAGTGGATGCGCAGTTGTCTGTGAAAGTGTCCCCTCTGGCTCCCTGCTGGGCTGCAGGTGCCGCGGCGAGGGTGGGGGAGGTCTGTCCTCCACTGTGTCCCAGGGCCCCTCCACCGCCCTTTTCCGCGTCATCTCCCGGCCTTTTGCTTCTGCCACACCTCGACCACCAGCCCCTCCCGCACACACACAACCACCGAAGTCTGCAAGGTTTGCCCCGTCCCCCTCAGCCACTCACCCCTTCCAGAAGGAGCACGCCCAGGGCCTCAACACAGAGCAGGCAGGAGCACACAGGGCGGGGGTGGGGGGGGGCACATAGGGCAGAGCCAGGCGGCGGGGACAGCAGGGAGCCAGGCGCCAGGCAGGCTCTCACCTTCACTCTGCTGACTCCCAGCACTGCCGCTGCCGTAGCTGAAGCCAGGGTCCTGGTATGCAGGTGGGAAGCAGGGCGGGGGGCCCGGGTACTGGTAGGGGTAGCCCTGACCCAGGGGCCAGGGGGCGGCCGGATGGGGCAGCGGGGCCAGCGTGTCCTGATCCGAGGCCCCACTGGAACCACTGTTGAGGTTCAGGGCTGCGAGATCTGGCAGGAAGGGACGGTGGCTGAGGGCGGGGTGGGCAGGCCCTCTGGGGACCCCCTGCCCCGCAGCCCCTCACTCACTGCTGCACAGGTCCCCGAAGACGTAGTAGCACTGCTCCGAGAAGGTGATCTTGTTCACCGTGTGCCGCAGGAAGCCACGCTTCAGCATGCTGCTGGCGTACTTGCGGGCCTCGCGCCGTTCCTTGAAGCCCTCCACGTGTGTGTACAGCCAGTCCACCACGTCCGCCCCTGGCCCGCGGCACGTGTCAGGGCACGGAGCCTGGGGGCGCTGACCCTGCCCACCCGGAGCCAGCCCAGCGGGGACCCCTCACCGATGACGGCATTGGCGATGGTGATCTTGAGCCACATGCGGTCTCGGATCTCCAGGCCCGAGTCCGGCAGCTTCATGACACGCACCACGGCACCCATGTCACTCTTCACCGTCAGCGGCGCCTCCTCCAGCTCTGCAAGGCAGAGCCCCCCCTTCAGCCCCGAGCAGCTGAGGGCAGGGGGGAGGGCTTGGGGTGGACCCCGGGCCCTGCTGCTGCACCCGTCTCAGAGACCGGGCCCCGCGTAGGGTCTCTGGTCCCAGAGCCCAGATGGCAAGGCTGTCTCGTGACTGTGGGGCCCACGCCCACCACAGGATGGGCCCTCCCAGGGGCGGGGAGCAGGCGTGGGCTGGGGAGATTGAATCTCTTGTCTCCTGCCCCTGCAGATGCTTCATCGGGATCTTGGGCCCAAACCAAGGTGGAGCCACCCCCGCCCTGCAGGTCAGATCCCCAAGAAGAGAGATCAGGCCTCTCCCCACCACCACCCCCCTCCCGCCACTCCTCCGCTAGCTCAGGGCTGTTAGTCGTGTTAGCTGCAAGAAAGCAGGCGGGGGTCACACACATGGGGGACAGGCCACTCCCCCGGTCCCCGCCGAGGCAGAGCCCTGGGCAGGGACCACAGGGCTGTCCTGGTCCTCTGGGCACCTTTCCACCCACCACACAGGCAGCAAACCAGAAGGAGGGTGCGCACGAGGGCACACACGGGTCAGACACACGTGTCGGCAGTGTCCATCCGTACGTGTGCCCTGCGCCTGACTGTGCTGGGTGGGCACTTAGGACAGGTCCCCCACCCGGGTGCCTCAGGTCCCTGCTCTCCTGAGCTGCCACTTACGCGGAGCGCCGGGCACAGAGCTGGTTAGTGAGGAGGAGCTGGTGCGCGTGACGGCGCTGGAGCAGGGGCTCGTACCGTAGCGGGGCAGGGCTCCGGTCAGCGCCGCCGTGTGGGACAGCCAGGCGGCAGGGTCGATGGGCCGAACCGGGTCAGCTGGGTGGCCACCGTGTGGTAACGCGTGTGGTAACGGACAGATGGACAAAAGGACGGGCGGATGGTAGGACACACAATGGAGCACGGGGGCACAGAGGAAAGGACCTTCAGGCTGGGCGAGCGCCCTCATCCCCCTCCCCTGTCAGCCCTGAGGGGTCACTTACCCCTCGGGATGGTGAAGTAGCTCCGGGGGGTTGGGTCCCAGCACTTGGCCACCGTGAGGCTGATGGGCCTGTGGGGTGGGGCAGGTCACACGGGGAACGCCCCGTGCGGGCCCCCCAGCACGCCACCTGCCCACCCCGCGCCTCACCCCGTCTGGGACACGATCTCCCGCAGCACCCGCACAGCGTCATCGTTGCTCATGCTCTCGAAATTGATGTCATTCACCTGGGGGACAGGGAGGGGTTCAGCGCGGTGGGCTGGGGGTGCCGGCCTCTCGGCCCCCCAGCAGTTCCCGCAGCCCCGCACCTGCAACAGCATGTCCCCGGGCTCAATGCGGCCGTCGGCAGCCACGGCCCCGCCCTTCATGATGGAGCCGATATAGATGCCGCCGTCTCCCCGGTCGTTGCTCTGCCCCACGATACTGATGCCCAGGAAGTGGTGCCTCTCTGCAGGGGCGAGGGGTGAGCAAGTGTCTGCTGAGGGGGCCCGGCCCAGCCAGGTGCCCCGCACCCCACTGGGGAGGCCCCACGGTCTGCTGAGGGGGCCCGGCCCACCCAGGCGCCCCGCACCCCACTGGGGATGCCCCACAGTCTGCTGAGGGTCCCGGCCCACCCAGGCGCCCCGCACCCCACTGGGGAGGCCCCACGGAGCCCTCACCCATGTTGAGCGTGACGGTGATGATGTTCAGGGACATAGTAGAGTCCGTGATGCTGCTAAAGGAAGAGGCCTGTGGAGGGGCACGAGTGAGGGGGTGCAGGTGGGGGCTTCCGAAGGGCAGACCCCACCCAGCGCCTGGCTGCCACCTACACGGTCCGTCTGCCGCAGGCGCTGCTTCCGCCGCCGGCGCTTGTGCTTCCGGATGAGCCGGGAGGAGGTGCTCTGCTCCGTGGAGCTGCTCAGTCTGGGGGGGGCATGAAGGTCAGGGGCCAGGCCACAGGCTGCAGGGCTGAGGCAGGTGGGGAGAACAGGGCGCCCCCCAACACACACACGCAGGGAGTGGAGGTGATGGGCGTTGTCCCCCCCGCCCCCCGGCCCCGACCAGGCCGACTGTGGGAGACACGGGGCTGAGGTACAGTTTGCTCAGGAGAAGGCTCAGCTTCTGGTTGTGCACACATGACATGTACACGCCCCACACCTGCACGGAGTACTTCTCTCAGGACAGACGGAGACACAGACACCGAGCCAGCACATTCGTGCATGTACACCTGTAACACACCCACTCGACACACACACCCATTCACGTACACATGCCCGTGCAATCAAGCACACGTCCAGGGTCACACACACCCATGCACACGCGCGCGCACACACACACACACACACACACACACCTGTATACACCTGCACACCCATGTAGAATGTGGCCCTGCACACACACACCCATTCACACACATAGGCCCATGCCCATACGTGCGCACCCATTACACACCTACGCACACGTGCCCCCCCCACACCACGCCCACGTGTGCGTACACCTATAGCACACCCGTGCACACCTGCATGCACACCCACGCACCGGCTTGTGTTGTCATCCTCGTCTGAGTCGATGAAACTACTGGACTCAAGCTCACTGCTCAGCACGGTGGACGCGCTGTCGGCGGGCAGCCCCAGCTCTCGCCGCCGGTCCCCCCTCGGGTGCCCGTTGGTCCGGGCAGCTGCGGGGAAAGCCAGTAGGGGAGCTGGCCGTGGGGTCCCGTGTTGCCTCGAGCACCAGCTGAACTAGGAGCTGGCCAGGTGGCTGTGGGACTGCTGGGGGGCGGGATCACCGGGGTCCTGTGCAGACGGGCCTAGGACCTCCACCCGGGGTCCCCTACTGGTTGGGGGCAGTAACTGGGAGCAGGCAGGGACATGGGGTGCACCATAGGGGCCCAGGGGTGTCCGCCATGTGGCCCTGTTACCCTCTTCACGGTTCCGGCGTCGGGCTCTCTCCCGCCGGTGGCTGACCATGGACTCCGTGCCAGTGTCGTTGTCCATGCAATCACGGCTGCTCGCTACATTGGGGCTGTGCCCACAAGAGGGGGTGGGCCAGGGCAGGCTGTACCTTGGACGCCCTCCCAGCTCCTTGCCCCTTCTCCCACCCGCCCACCTACCTAGATCGGGCCTCTCTGCCCGCCCCGCATCCGCTGACCAGTTTCTACTGCCCGTGGGTCCCTGGTCAGCTGCCCCTCCTCCCGAAAGGCCTGGCCGGCAGCAGGCCCCTCAGCACCACCAGCCTCAGCCCCCCGCCCACAGTCCTTACTGGAAAGAAGGGGGCCGGGAATCCCCAATGCCTCCCGTCCTCTCAAGAGGCGGGGGCAGGTCTGTATGGCCATCAGTGCTCTGAGACCCTGCGTCCGAGTGCGCGCCCTCAGCCAGGACCAGCTGTGGAGGAGAGCGATGGCTCAGGGACGCCCCCCCGCCT